AGCCACCTTCTTCCTCTTGCTGATTATTGCAGCTAGAGTGGGAGGGAGCCAAACTGAGCCCTTGCCCTGGACGTACGCCACACGCAGCTGTAGCGTGGGATGGGGAAAACAGCAGCGTTAGGCCTGAAACTGCTGTGGACGATGGGGTGTCCCCCCACTAAGGTAAACACTCAGACCACACACTCCTGCCCCGCCCCGAAACACGCGTTTACACTCACAAACACACTCATACACACATACAGATACACCTTTGGCCATACCTTCTATTCCTCACCTGTCGTCAGGGATTTTTTTTTGTCAGGATTTCAGATTTTTTTGGAAATGGATCTCTCATCTATTTTTAAAGGGAGATTACCTTTTTTTTCATGCTTTCGATTTTCCTGATCATATCCCTACACCCCCCACCCCCACCCCTCATCCCCCCAAGTATACTCTGCTCATACATTCCAGTTCCCAACATACTGACTGCTCACACACCATCTTTTGAGGACATGTACACCATCATTTAGTCTAAAACTGAACCCTTTCTGAAGCAGGCACATTGTTGTTAGTACATCCCGTATCTAACAGCCTGTCACTCAAGAGTACCAGGCAATCACAGCCAGAGCTGGACGTGGGACATTTAGGTAGGATGCGTTGTTTTAGTTTTTGTAAATGTGCCCCTGGGGCCACTTTGGGGTTAAGTGCCTTGCTTAAGAGCACATCTGTAGGCCCTCCATTTCAGAGTTGAATAACCTGGCTCAGGATCGGTTGCTGGTTCAACGCTCGACTCCCCCTCTCCCCCCAAACAGCGATTTTTGATGCCACATTCAACTTGTATGAATGACAATGAACACAAATATTATCATTTTGTTTTAAATTACATTTTGTCCTATGTTCTTTGAAATGTTTAATTATCAATAAATGAATTTCAACTGAACTTTAGCTTCTTTGTGTGAATAATTAACAATGTGAGTTTCCCTCTCAGAACTTGGCAAATGATGAATCAGTGCTTAGGTGCTGGATAATTACTGTTATCATTCATTTTAACGTGTTTGTGGAGGAGGCATCAAATAACTCTATTAGAGCTCAGCATCAGATGACGTTTTATTCCATTTTCTTCCAAAAACATCAACCTATGCTTTTCAAATAAAAACCAATAATTTGATAACAATCCAAACCTGTTGATAATTCAATCACTTTGATATACAAAAAAAGAAAATGAGAAGAAATTGAGGGTATGGAACCTCACTCCCTGCTAACAAGACTTTTGCATGGACACTGCTGAGTTTCATGGCCTCAACAACAATGAACAGTTTACAGATGGACACTAGAGTAATGAATGAGTGTGGTGAATACATTATACACAATAATGAGAGTATACTGAGGTAATGTGATGAGTAGACCTACAGTATGTATGTAAATGGTCAAAGGGTGGAGCATGAAACTGCATAGACATCATTCACAGATCACTGGCCTAACAGCATGAAAATGCAGTTTCTGCTCTGGTAACATGTATATCTGGTTTCCAGCTGCCAGATTAGTCCATGAAGTAGCTTCAGTGATGAATACAAAGGTCTATTTTGTGAGGATCCCTGTTGAATATTTGCAGACACTTGAGTCAGGAGATGATGATGTCTTGGGAGTCTTCCATTATGGAAAATACAAGACTACAAATAACCCATTATTGTAAGTACCTCTTGACTTATGTTCACCTCCTGTGTCATTCTTTTTTGTCAAGTTAAGAGTACAGCACACACAATGCTTTGTGTACAAAGTATTGTGTGCGCGGACTATTTGCGTATATACTGGGGCAGAAATTTTTTGCCTTTTATTGGACTTTTTTGCAGAGGCAAGGAAAACTGAATATTAGAGATAAATAACTTTCTAGTAAGCGCATCTATTGAAGCAGGTCTTCTCAAACTGCCAATGCTAAATCCCAGATTAAATACTATAATTATTAGTTTGCCTTTAAGTGATTATGCTGTGTCTCTTACATTGATTTAGCAGGGTAGAGGAAAAGTAAGGATAGGTATATTCTTGATAATTAAACTATGGCTACAAAAAAATATAGTCTGCAGAGACATGATTGACAGATGGAAATGTTGCCCATCTGCACTCAAACAGTAGGGTTGAAAACAATGTAGCTGATTTCAAAACCCCCTGTTCAGGTCTTAACACATTCTGGCCTGGTTTTCTGAAATCGTCTCAAAATAAAGTTGAAGCTCCTATTGAATCCAAGCCTGGTTTCAGGAAACCAGTCTGTGCTTTAAAGAATGACTGGGAACTAATAAGTCCATTTGATTGCAACAGACAGGACAAGACTTAGCAAACACATTAAAAACACCACACAATGTGGACCAGACCAAACACATATTACAGTACTTTGACTTTCAATCACTATCTCCCATGATGCTGCTGGCGTAGTATGAAAAAGGAGCGAGCATTCAAACACACGTATTGAAAATAGCAACGCTTTAATAAAGAGCGATTTTACAAGACTGCAATGTCTAGCTAGCTAGGTGATAACTGGCATTGACATCCATGGTGTTTTACAAAGATGCAGTTATGGTAACTGGGTTTGAAGTTTGATGGGTTACTTGCAAGTTGCATTTCTGCATGCGAGGCAGCCTTCAAACAGTTACAGACCCTTCATTGTAAAACAGTTGATTATGAATGTCAATGAACGTTCATGTCAAGAGGTAAGTAAAAAATCTCATGGAGAAATTTCCTTAACATTTTCCAAACACACCGGTAAGTGAGAGTTCACACAATGGTCATGCTTTTACCGGGCACACAAGCCAATAAAAAGACGACACTTAATCATGCAAAAAAAGACAGTTTTTTTGTCTCTAAAAATAAAAGAACAAAAAAATCCTTTTGAGTTCTGATATCATCCATCCATTATGACCTTGAATAAGAAGAAGCTGCGCTTTGATGATGACTTTGGTGCAAAAAAATGTTCCTGTTTCGAAGAGGACAGACCCTGTCCTGTCCACTTCCTTGATGAAGACACTCTTGGTATAGACCAGTTGTGATAGTTTACCCTTGACACCCCCCACCCCCATCCCCCAAACCCCTTCCTCCTCGAGATGGACACAAACATCACAAACATCAACCCCACCCACCCCCACCCATCCCTGGATGAAGACACCTTCAAAATACAACCATTCAAACACAGATACAGCAATAAATTGTCCCACGTACAGTAACGTCATCCAATGGGGCTTCAATCACTTTACAGAGAGAGCACGTCTAAAAACACATGAACGGCATTACCTATATACAGAGGACACAGTAACAGTCAGAGGTTGGCCCAGGATGGATTGAGCTGCGTCGTGGGAATGAAGTGCACAATGAAAAGAGCATTCAGCTGACGGAGAAAGACAAACCACTGGAACGAGGAATAATGGGGGAGAATGAAACAACAATTTTCCAAAGGAGATATCCAAGTCAGCTGGCATCTTATTTAGAAACCTCAGAGAATATCTGTCTGCTTGGTGACGATTTCTAACACAGAAGTCTCTCTCCGCTGGTAGTAGAGTCATAGCTGCAGGTACAGAGGGAGATTGGTTTTTCACAAAGCCAGCAGTTAACAGTTCCAGGGTGGATTGTAACGATGCACCACCGTACAATTGCAATTCTCTTGACGATTTTGTTAGAAATCACCACCCTGCACAGCTCCAGCTGTCTGGAGAGGTTTGCCTCAGATTCACTTTGAGGTTCCAGGTCCGATGACTTGGGGCTTTTTTGCGTTTTTCAGCAGATGAGTGATCCTAGAGCCACCTTAAATTGATGTTGCGTTGTACAGACTGACACACAGTCACAATAACACTCACTGCTAAGTTAGTACACGCTACCAGCTCGCTAGAGACCTTTCATCTCTTACCGAGGAACATGACCCTGTTTATCTCTATGGGAAGGCATGTGCACACAAACACACGTACAGTACATGTACATAGAACAGACACAATCAATAGAAAACGACTTCATCCCCAATCGATTATTGCCCCTTTCAACTGTACATCCCAGCAATGGTTTTAGGTTTTTGTGCAGCAGAGCATTGTCCCCTCTTCGAAGGTTTGTGCTATATATATATATATATTTTTATATATATATATCGTCTGTCTGTGGGTCTAACTTGACCTTGGATCTGCGAGGAAAGCCACATTAACATTTTACGTCTCATTAAAGCCTGCCCGCCTCTAGCTGTCTGAATTAATCTATATGTCGTCACTGCAGGCATTATTAGGGTCGTGATCGACAGACAGTCGCTTTCCGACAGTCTGGTCCTCATTGGACTCCTCTGACTGACCTTTAGCTATCCTGTCCACAAATGTTAACACTACATTAACAAACCTATCACTGTGTTAGCAATGTCTTTTATTCCTCCAAGTGGAGGTGAGACATCTGCTGTGGTAATTACCCTTATCCAGGACTTCATAAGAGACTAATTTTGGACAGGACGAATGCTCAGGACAGGGAGGACATCATACACTTGGGAGCTAGACCATTTCTGATTGGCAAGACTGAGAATCGCCTCCTTAGTAATATCCAGTCACGTCTCTATCTGGCTCTCAGTGCATTTTTCACTACTTTTAGAGCAGTACGGGTATAAAAGAACGAGTTAAATAGAAAAAAACCCAAAAGAAAACGTAATTCTGTACAGAAACCTGATGTGGACACACAAGAGGTACAACACTACAGCAGGAAACATCTTCTAAACAGGCTACAGATGGGTGGAAAAGACGGTAACAGGGTTGCATGATATTGCACAGCTGTAGAGGAGGAAAAAAGAACAAAAATACAGTGTGTACAGCACATCCCCAAGTAGCAAAGTTAGTGTAAGAGGTTTGTTTACATCCAAATGCAATGCCTGGGTGTGGCTCAGTGCTTTCATCAGTTAGTTCCAGTGCAGTAACACATTGGTACCTGGCAACACTAATGACATCAGATACCAAAAGAGAAACATACAGTACATACCCTACACAGCTACGTCCATCCACACACACACACACAAACACACACACATACACACACACACACACACACACACACAAGCGTGCCCGCTAATTATCGTTCCACGTCGGATTCTTGATGTGAAGTTGGCAATTCAGAACAAATGGAGCTCATAAAAAGACTCAAACGGTAATGTTGATGCAGCACGCTGCCAATCTGAACAAGATGCTAAAATCACCTACACAGACATACACCCTTGGCAAAGTTCACATTGAGTAAAGTGCCAGCAAACGATCCAATCAGAGAAAGAGACGTGCGTCCTCCCGAGTTTGATTCAGTTGTGGGATGAAGAGGGAAGTGGGTAAGTTTTTATACAGGAAATTATCTGGATGAGGAGGTCAGGAAGTGGCGATAGAGCTTTTGCACTTCCATAGAGCTGTCAGTCTTTCTAGTGTCATCACAGGTCGTATTCGCCATCTGAATTGGCAAATCAAACAGAGGATGAGTGGGACTGATGCGGAGCCTCTGGCGCCCCAGCATTATAGATTCAAAGACAGAGAGATCAGTAGCCACATGGGGAGAGGAGAGGAGATTAGAGGGTCAGTCGACACAGAAACAGACATCAGCATTTCATCCTTTATCCGTCCTCTGGTCCTCTCTCCTTCTTCCTCTCCCCTCCCTTTTCCTCTCTGTCCTCGTCTTTCTTCTTCCTGCACTGGATTTGGTTCTGGATTTGTTTTCTTGGACTCTTTCTCTCCATCTCTTTCCTCTTGCCTTTTCTCTCTCAGCTTTGCTGCCATGGTTACAACATCATCCCTACATGAAGTGCATCTGCAGAGGACAGGGTGAGAATGGAGAGTAATTTAGTTCAACAAAACACCTCATCAAGTGATCAGGCATCTATTGACAAGCATATTACCTGCCGCAGTGCCAAGAAAACAGCTTCTCAGGGGCGTGAGTGCTAAGTAAGCAATTATATTACTCTGTTATGTTTTGAATAATTGGTCAAAATCCACTTGTTTACTCTACTGAGAGTCTTGCGGCTGCACCAACTGGTGATTACTCACAGGGAAAAGCTTTTTTTTCACACTTGCTGGTCAATTTTAAAATTATCTGGCATGATTCATGCTGCTTCGACAGGGGTCCACAGCTTGAGCGCTTTTTATCAATCATTACAAATAGCTATATATGAATATATCAATTGTTCCAGAGGACTTGCAGACATGAAGTATAGATGTAATATTAGTGTTAAAGGAAAATTCCACAATTTGTTGTTCTTGTGCTCTTTTTTTTTTATACCAATTTAGGATATGCAATACATCCCAGCCATTTTCAGATTGAATAAATTAATTTAGTCTTATTTGCTCTTATTGTTCTGCACCTTGTCTATTTCTGCTTTAGCTGGAAATTTCCTCCATTTCCCAGAAGTGTTCAGCAGCCCAGAGATAACTAGTTATAACACTACTTCTTCCATTTGAGCTACACATTCCAAAACATAAAAGCAAGAGAAGCCCAATATTCAGTCAAATTTCAGTTTCAGTTGTTTCTTTCTTTTCTGTTCTTGTTTTATATTGTCTACTAAGCATGGCTCGATTTACTGAAAGCTAAACTGATTTCCTGAAAGGAGATAGGCAAGAGCCTCATGTTTATGTGGGTGTTAAACAGAAAGCTTCAGGTCGAACATAGGGGTTTCTGTCATAACATAACACACGGCTCCTTTGTAAGTTAATATTTTAAAGTTTTCTCTGCTGCTGTTTTTTTTGCCGTGGAGCAGGTGGTGGTGATTGTTGCTTGACAAGAGCTTCAGCCATCGTCGTCTTTATAATACAACAGGTTATAATATGTCCTCTGAGCAGCGCTACGTCTTCGTGGCAGATTAGAGGCTACAGTGACTCGCTATCGGAAAGTGGCGAGACGGGCCGGGGATAGCTGGTTAGCGTGCTAACTTCAGTAGAAGAAAAGACGTGATAGAGACCAGAGTCAACACTGATGTGGCTTTCCACCACTGGAGACAGCTCTTGGTGAGTAAAGGAATGTTTGATGTTGAACTCACAGTGTTTCTTTCAGACTGCTGTTAAGTAAACAGCTGTTAATGCTTACGCTGGCTATGTAGCACTAGCAAAACTTAAAAATAGCTCCTTCAAAAAAATATCATTGTTTCCTTTCCTTCCTTCCTTTCTTTCTTTTTTTAACTTTCTTGCAGAGAATTATATGTGGAGATTGATACCAGTCTTATGTCTGTATACCAAATATAAAGATACAGCCAGCAAGCAGTTAGATTATTTTAGCATAAAGACTGGAAAAAAGATAGTCTGGCTCAATCTGAAGGAAACAAAGTCCACCTGCTTGCACCTCTAAAGCTCACTAACTAACATTTTACATCTCATTCGTTCAATCAATACAAAAACCTTATCTTTATTATTCAGATACTAGCGTGGTATTGCTATTCTTACCTAACTCATGGCAAGAGAGCAAATTAAGCGTTTCCTGAAAATGTCAAACTGTTCCTTTAAGCTACATACTACAGAATTCAGTCAAGTTTCAAAATGGGCCATATTCCCCAAAATAATAGCACTAAAACTACTGCTTTAACTACATGGCAAAGGAACTAATGTGTGTGTGTGTGTGTGTGTGTGTGTGTGTTACCTGTGTCCCCGGGATGGGTCCAAAGGGATTGGTAGGTCTCAGGACAGGCTGGTTGTACATGACAGGCTGTGGGGGCATCATGGGAACGCCCCCCATCTGATGACTCATCTGAGGAGGGAGCTGGTGAGACGACAGGTCAGTGCAGGTGAGGAGCAAGAAGGAGGTGGGGAATAAACAGGATAATGTGGATTTAGATTTAGACCGGTGTCGGCAGCATATTAATGAAAGATTTGTGAATGTACGACTGAGATTAGTCTAGAAGCTGTTGTCCTTTACCATTCCATACACAGGCACTTGGGGTGTCGTCATAGGAAAAGCCACTGGTGCTGGAGCCTGTGCAGAAAAACACAAATGATCACCTTCTAGCCAATACAGTATTTACCTAAAAATCAGTTACATACATAATCCTGATACTGTCAGCCACACGTCTAACCTGTCAAAGATATCCCCCAAATAAAGACAGAAATATTTTTACTTTCTCAAACATTTGCATTTGTTTGCATCTACCAAGACACCTAATCCTAAGTAACAAAGAGAGTTGCAACATTTAATAACGATGAGTTGAGGTAGTGGATTTGCATCCTGTAATAACCGCTTGGGATGAAACAACAATCCCAAGGCAGCACAACAAGCAAAAGAGTTCATTTTGTGTTAATAAAAGCAAAGCAAAGGAACAGGATGAAATCAGGTGCAAAAACAGGAGAGAGGGGGAGGTGAAGTGAAAAGAAGTACTTACATAGCCAGTATAGATCATCCCGTTCTGTGGAGGGTTACAGAAAAGAAGAAAGACTAGTTTTTAACACGTCTGCATACAACAATAAAAACCATGTCTGTGCCTATTCTCCAAATGGGTAGAGAAGATAAACCAGACCTTTGCCCATTCCTCATGGTCCAATCACTTCTACTTTCTATTCAAGTCGTGCCACCGGCTTTCCGAGCCATTTGCTCAATAAATGAGCGGTTTGAGTTGAGAGGTCAATCAGTCGAAAATTAAAAGATGAAACCAGATTGAATAGAAGAGACGTGTAGATAATTAGAGCAGAGCACTAAAGGACAGAGTCTCATTTGGGAGCTCCTTCAAAAGCCCTAGCTGCAGCACAAAGATACATTAGGCCATATACACAGTCCAAAAGTCTGAAAGTGGTCTCACACTGTGTAGGTGTATATGATGATTTTCAATCCAGAGTGAGATATATCCTTTTTAGAAATTGACTTCACTGACAAAATGATGGATTGCACCGAATACAATTATTTTTCAAAAGATTTCTGTGAGTAAGTGCTTCACTGACAAAAACACCAATTTACAGACTTGCTTCTCTATAATATAGACAGTTAAATGTTAGGTTGATTTTGTTTTGAAGTTTCTATTTTGTTACTGCCAGAAATCTCACTGTGCTGCTGGTGTGTTCGCATTTTTATTTCATAAGATTTGTGCAGTTTACATGGAATGAAATTCACTACATAAGGTGATTTATTTTCTCGTAACATTAGAGCTAAAACAATTAATCCATTAGAAAATGAGTTATTGACTGTTTTCATAATCAAATAATCATTTAAAGAATTTTTCATGCAAAAAAAAAAAAAAAAAGCCACATATTTTCCCAATATTTTCAGCTTTTCTCACTTTATATACAAAGTGATGAATTGGTTAATTGAAAAAAATAACTGTCAGGAGAATCAATAAAAGTAAGTTGCAGCCATACATGACAAGGCAAGGGAAGGAAAATCCGTTTAAATGGTGTGCAGGTGGCATATGAGGCGGCGGGTATAACAGAGGAAGGTAGTGCTAAACTTTAATTCCATCTTTCACAGCTTTTACTAGTTTGCAGAGACACTACAGTAGCTTTTTCCATCTGGATTCCACTGCAACAAACCGTGTGAAATATGTGCTTGTTTACACTGCTCATAGTACACACGGTTCTTTTATAGCTGCACACAGCCATCAGTTCCAGTTGACATAAGCGGCATGTGCTCTTTTGTGTGCTGGACTGAAATGGTGCAAAAAAAAAAAAAGTCAAGCCCAGTAGGCATAAATCAGCACTGCACTGGTCAGGTTTTGGAGGAAACCCAATGACTATAATGTCACTTGTCCCACTCATGACTAACAGGAGAATGAGGGAACTGTCAATCAAGTCTGTACATGCTCATGTTTAATCAGCCAACGTGAGTCAAAACACCAGAGAGGGGATGACATCCCCTACACACCCATCACGACCACATGAATGTAGCTTTTGATTTACCATCTGAGGGACGGGCATGGGTGCAGGTGCCATGGGATGGGTGGTGTGAGTCCAGTTGGTGCTGGTGCACATGGCCTTTGACTGCCAGCCACTTCCTCCTGTTGGCTTTTTCTCTACCAGCTGACTCCACTGGAGCTCCGGCCTGATGCACGCAGACACACACACACACACACACACACACACACACACACACACACACACACACACACACATAGAGTATTTTACTAGGACAACAGATGATGCAAAATGGAAATCATGATCATATGACAAAACTGGATAGACAGCAGTCTTTTGCTGAAGTCAGGAAAAGCCACTCACTTTTTAGCTGGCGTCCCCCCAAACTGCAAGTCTGAGAGAAGAGGAAAAGACAATAACAAACATAACATCAGCTGAAAGGAAGCAGGAATAACGGGAAAGAAAAATGGAGGTGATGACTGAATATTTGGACAGAGATGCTGTGTACTCACTACCAACTAGGTTGGCTAATGAAGAGTCCAAATCATTGGGCAGCATTTTCCCAGAGTGCAACGGGGCTCCTGGGCTGTGAATTTGAGTGGGCGGGGCTGGCTTCAGCAGGTCACCTGACATCCGAAGGTTACCATGGTAACATGAAAGGAGAAAAGAGGGGAAATGAGTCAAGAGCATGAAGCAACTAGGCGTTACTGTCACAGCTTATCCAGCCCTGAGGTGTGTGTGTGTGTGTGTGTGTGTGTGTGTGTGTGTGTGTGTGTGACTGCGTGAGTGGGCATTTATTTGCACGCTTCGTTGTGCGTTTGCATGATTATATGTGTGTGTGTTTGTTTGTTTGGTTGTGTATGCGGTCCTACCTCCCCAGGCATTGTTATTGTTGGGCACAGTGTGTGTGGTCTGGATGGGGGTGAAGTTTGGCTGCAGGGTGAACAGCTCACTGGTCAGGTTTGGCACACTACAGGAAGCAAAAGGGAGAGGAGAGCACAGTTGTGTTTCTCATTTAATTTTTATGCAACCAGAAAAGTCCATTTAAAAAAAAAAAAAGTTATTTACTGTGACAGATAAAAAGCAAGAAGTCTCTTGTTGAAGAACTGGGATAAAGGGATAAAATGATACAACGAAACTGAAAGGTACTGTTCGCAGACAAATCAGGAAACAAGAAAAGAGTCTTTCTACAATATAAAAAAGCCTTTTCCCCGTAGAATTTTTCTGTTTACACTGCATGGGACTACGGACTCACTGGTTGTTGACGGGTACGATGGGTGAGTTGGAGAAGAGATCTGCTGCCCCTCCGCTGCTGTTGGCACTGCCCACTGACTGGGTGCTGGGTGACACATTGGGCGTCTGAATGTCTATCGCCTTGTGACCGTCCTCCTGCGTGGAAAACATCAACAGAAAATGATTGAGCTTGTTGAAGAATGTTAACCTCCTCTGGAAAAACAAAAAGAGGAAGTCAAATATCTCTCATATTAAGTAGTGCAGCTGTTATAACTATTTCCATTCCCCGTGTCCTCGTTATTTGAATGAAAAATACACTGCAGAAGGTGTTTTAGACTTCAGTTCATTTCTATTCTCTGTGCAGCTGTGTATGCTGTGGGCCAGCAGCCAGGTACAGACAATGTATTTCACTGTACAGCAGGATTAATGCTCTTGTTCATTCAACTTCAACAACGGTGTGGGGGACAAAAAAAAAAAAAAAAGACTTGAGGGTACAGTTGTGTGTACACAGCTCACACAATTTCAGTGTGTTTCCTCACATACAAGCAGATGATTTGCAAAAAAGGTATCTGCACTGGGAATAATCACAATGTGGTTTCATTCAGTACAGTATTGTTTATATGTGATATTAGCTCTCCACGCCTCTCTACATTATGTGTGTGTGGGTGTTTTTTTTTTAAATGTCTAAAAATGTCTCGCAAATGTCTCGCCTTGTGTTGCTGCAGTCTGTTGTCGTCTGACTTGTCGTCCATGCGGCTGAGAGAGATCCCAGTGCTGGAGAGAGTGGACACTGCACTGGACAAGGTGCTGGATCTGAGGGTGAGACACACATACATACACACACACACACACACACACACACACACACACACACACACACACACACACACCCACACACACACACACACACACACACATGTCAGGAGATCACTCAAGTCAGTAGGATTCCCCCATTTGGGGAACATGAATGTTTGTGGCGATCCATCTCATCCTCGAAAGATTTGAGTCTGGATCAGTTACACCACAGTCTGAGCGATGGCAGTGTCGGCCTGTCTGTCCGCCACTTTGCTTCACACTTTAATATATCAACAAATATGAGATGCCATGAAATTTTGGGCATTCTTCAGATGATGAAGTCTAATGACTTTGGTGACGCCCTGATTTAACTTCCAGCAGCGCCACGAAGTCCCCATTTTTGGTTTTAAGTGAAAGGTCTCGAGTTATAGCAGTAGTAGTGGTAGAAGTACTACTATAATATTAACATTAATATTATATAGTGCAGCAGATCTTAGGAGCTTCTTTCTAATCTGATCTTACCTGCTGGCTGTGGAGAGGTCCTTCAGCTTCCTTCCCTCCAAAGAGGCTAGATGCTGCTCCAGAGCCTCAAGGAGAGAGCTGGGAGCCTGAGGTTGGAGGGGGGGGGTAAAGGGGTGGGAAGGTGAGGGGGTAATATTAGAACCACAGCCAAGCAGACAAAGTGGGACACACTGTTTTCTCTCACTCCCCCTCTCGTCACCCCCCTCATTTGATCTCACACACTTGGATACGCGCACACACAAAGCAGCAGCGAAATTAAGACATCACTTTCAGATTCGTCTTCTATTCTACGACAGCTCTTTGTACTTTTTTTTTTTTTTTTTTTTTTTTTTTTTTTGCATTTGGTTTCATCAGGTTTGGTTGACCAGCATGCACACATCAGCCCCGGATCATGCAAGCGAGTCCACAGCGGGACTGACAGGTCAGGGCAGATTAGAGCATCATCACTGCAGGGCTCCAGAGGAGAAACACGACAACAAACACATCTCTGAACCATCTAACGAGCCCATGCAGACGCCAGCAGTGCACAAACGCTCTCATAACACACACGCATACACATAAAGAAAATCACAATCCAAAAATTAAAGAGTTAACCCGTGGATTCCACTTTAGGTTAAAAGTCTGATTAACGTTGCTTTCATTTGATTTTATTTGATTAAGTAGCAACTAAACAAAGGAGCTGAGAACCATATTTTTTTTAATCCCACTGGAAGCCAAGGAGATTAACTCAGTGAAATGTAAACGTCTGGTGAAAAACCAGGTATACACATTGAGCAGCTGGCCGGCACTCTTTACTGGAAAACAAAAAGGATGGATGGGTTCATTTTGACAACATGTGATACCACGGTTTTCACCCAGAGCCTCACATTTCAGCGCCAGAGAACACAATGCAAACACAACAAGCAAAGAAAAGATTTCTCATATACTTATTTTAAGGGGGAAAGAGAGTAAAATGCGAATTCTGGATATCCTTCTTCAGAGAAATCTAGAATATGCTAAAAGTTTAAAAGTAAAACAGACACATATCTAGAGCTCAGTATAGGCATGGGTCACTATGTTGTTGAATAAGGGCATATAAGGTCTTCATAAGCACTACAAACATGACATTCATTTTAAAAAAGGCAGCCCTTCTCTCTTTTTTGTTACATGATTGGTGATATTGTAAACATCCAATTATGTTTCCACTAAAAAAAATGATACGTTGCATTTGAGGCCTTTAGCATGATATGCAGTACTTATGATGGCATTATGTACACCTATCCAAGTCATATTTGCAGAAACCTACTTAATAGAAACCATTCGCTGCTCTCCCCACAGCTAATGCAAAGGGACATAATCTTTTCAGGAGAATGATTTGAACACTGCTTATGAGGGCAAAAAACCTATTCCATGAAGCTGTGCTGACTTATTTGTATGATAAGCCTTTGAATGAAGAGACAAGCCTTGATATTTACACTGGGGAAAAATTCAGACAGATACTAAGCCCCAGTCTTGGACATTTAAAATAGAAATATGCAAAAAAAAAAGAGGTTAAAAAAACTTTAGTCAGCTGCAGAAATGCTGTTTTCAAAATCTTAAAATCTTACCTCAGAGTAAAATTTGTTCTGCAAAGATTCAGATAGGAGAAAAAAATGAAATCCCTGCACTAATGCATTATGGGGAAAAAATGCTTCAAGGCTATTTGCAGGTCTTCATTTATTGTTTCCTCTCTATTCTAGACTCTGTTCAGACAGAAAAGGAGAAAAAGCGAAGGAGTTGAGGAGAGTGAAGAAGAGAGGAGGAGGACGGGGCAGCTGCAGTGTGGGCAGGTCTGTAGGGTGAGTAGGGAACGGGAGCGTTTAGAATGAAGCATTATGGGATTGACTTGACGGATTTATATACTGGTTGACTGACTGGTTGATTGACTGATTGAGATGAGATGTAGACTGACCTGTGTGAGATCGGGGCTGTCGCCCTGATCTATCCCAACTCGCTGTGTCACAAAAAAGGAGGGAGGGGTAGGGGAGGGAGGAGGGAGGCAAAATAAAAATAAACCCAATGTAATAATAAAACAAGGAGTAAACCAAAAAACCCAACAGACCACAGAGTAAAAAAAGGGAAGAGGCGTGTGAAGGAGAAAGAAGAGGAGGAAGAGGAGGAGGAGGAGGAGGAGGGAGAAAGAAGAATCAAACCCAAGCATTCATTACTTCATGCAGTGGCTGGAAAGGAAAACAAATAAAAGACAACAGAGGAGGAGGGGAGGAGGGCACATGCACACGCATACAAACACCTATATATACAGTATATGTACACGCACACACACTTATAAGTACACGCACACGCGCACACTGAGATCTGGAGACTGGTTTGAAATGAATGCTGAGCACACCGACTGACTGTACAGGCAGGGCAGAGAGGGCAGACAACAGGTCACATGACTGTGCGAGGTAAGAAACATCCAAAAGGAAGACACTCAACTAATGTTGACTTTGAACAGAAAGAGAAGGGAGGGACACAGATGACACACAAACAGACAAACACACATTTTGTTAGACAGGTAAAATGAATGGGTCCTTAAAGTCAACGTTAGTCTGTAGTTTTTTTTTTTTTTTTTTCTTTTCTTTGGATCGAGATCCCCAAACCTTCTTCCAAATGGGAAACGAAACCAAGCAGTGAGAAAGCCTTTGAAGATGGCGCACGGGATAATGCTACGCAGTGGATAAAACTGTTGATATTCACTGTGAAGCCTAGCAAGGACTGCAACTGTTAATTGGATAGCAGCCATAATAAAGAAAGAAAACCATACTCTTTAAGAAAAGGGAGGGAATAAAAATAAGAGGAAGAGGAGACAGAGATAGAGATAGAAGAGCTTGCTTGGGCATGCAGTGCAGGCATGTGAACAGGCAGCACGCGAGGGGTCCCTCAACTGGAAGCTCTACATGAGTGGCTCTCTGATTGGCTGAAACTCAGCCATTAATCACTGTCTCGGAGTAACCCCCTCCCCAGGTCAGGGTAAGAGAAGGACAGAAACAGGAGAAAATCTAGATGCAAAAAAAGACTTGGAAGATTAGGCAAGAAGCCCCCCGGACGCTGATCTACGGTCAGTTTTAGCTTGGAAAATATCGACCGTAAATCAGATCCGAAGGGTAACAGACGTCTGGAGCAACTCTCAACAGGTTAGAGTGGAGTTTAAATTAGATAATTAGAAAAGGATATTTATATATTCACATAGAAAACAAGTTTAGAGGAAGAGGCTGTTGAGTTTTGCTCCAGACAGATATATTCCCGCCCTCTCCAGGGGTGTTTAACTCTGTTTCCTCCTCCTGAGGATGAGGACCAGCAGGACGAACAGACATTACCTCTGCCACTTTGAGAAACTCAGACAGTTTGGTCATCCTGTTGAGGAAGGTCTTGTAGATCTCCAAAGCTTCTTTGCACTGGTTCTTCTTCATGTCAAAGTATTTCTCTGTGTATCAGAAGACCACAATCAGCGTAAGAGCATCACTATTTATTCACCAAAAAAAAAAGAGGGAAATGTTCACTTTATCTTGATGATCGGCGACAAATACTTTATAAATATTTAATTTAACACACTGAGATGCTACATGATAATGTTAAAAAGTGAATACAATAAAAAAAAACTGCTAAAAAAACTGTTATTGATTTATCCTGATATGCCTGGATCTGGTGATGAAATAAATTCTACATAGACTCCCAGTCACTATATAAATCGAGTAAATTAAGTAATTAATCATTTAATGAACTTCACAGCAAAGAGTCTGATGGTCTGTTCCTCCTCGCTGGCTTAACAATTAATGGGAGGAAAGAAGGTGATCTTTATAGTCTTTAATTGAACTTTGAGAGATAGTAGCAGGAAAAATTGATTTCCCCCTAAAGAAGGATTGAGTGGAGTCACAGTCTTGTGATCTCGACATCAGGGGGACATTACGCCATAAATACATCCCTGACCTCATTAGAGATGAGCCTACCCAGCATGTTGATGACCCCTTCATTATAGGCAGCAAACAACCGTATGGAGTCTTTAAAGAGCAACATGAAAGCTGTGTTGATCACTCCATTGGTCAGCTCGTTGGAGTTAGGCTGGGGGAGGGACAGACAGTGGGAAAATGCTGTGTGAGATCAGATCCAGATACAGGTTTTCAGAAACCAGTATCAGTCACATGTTTTACCTGGAAATCCAGCAGTGCATCCAGCTGGTTCTGAATGATAGGCAGAGTCTTAATCAGCTTCTCCGTGTTCATGGTGCGCATCACACCCTCAGCCCTGGCAACACACAAGAGCACATGCGCACAAACACAAATGCGACACACACACACGCACAGGACTTTAAAACAAGCCTTTAAACACAAAAGGGTGAAATAATAATACAGAAATAAACACATCTTTAAGAAAGATATGTAACTTTTGAAATTAATGACGACACATTCTTCTTCCTGCTAATTAAAATGGGGAATTTATAACCATTGCTCAGGGGTTTGTAGGTGGTTACTGGTTCACTTCACTTACTTCATGACTCTTTTCTATTTGCGCTAATGTAACATTACCTATTAGCATTTTTTTGTTTTTACCTTTATCCCATAACCGCCACTTGTGGCCATAGTGGCTGCTGGTCAGTAAAAGCTACACAGACTCACTTTAAGGAAAAATACTGAATCTATTTGTTACATAGTAGCATCAAATCACATCACATCAAATCAAGTTTATTTATAAAGCACATTGACTAATATGCTGTAGAATAAAATACAAAGAAAACATGTGACATAAAGAGATAATGTTTGTGATGTCTTAACTAGCCCATACAAGTAGTAGTAGTAGAGCCTGAAAATATAAATACAATTGTTCCAACTATTATCATCCTTTTTGGTTAAAATAACCCATAATTCCCCAATGTATACATGACATGTATGTCAGTAGTGTGTGTGTGTGTGTGTGTGTGTGTGTGTGTGTGTGTGTGTGTTTGTTACCCTCTCTTCATCTTGGTGAAGTCCACCGCTGCTAGTCTGTAAGACATGGCTTTTTCATTCAGGTAGCGGCTGTAGCGTCTGATGAAAGTTGACATGTTATACCCTGGAGGAGGGAGGGGGGCAGAGAGGGGGCGCTGCAGTTAGTAACTGATCACTTTGTCCTATTTTCAAATCAGGTTAAGAACCCATAATCCTTTTCATATGAAGTGTACTAACTTCTTTATGAGCAATCTGCTTTTCCCAATGTGTCAAACAGGCCCTGGCACCACATTACTTCAAGATTTATTTATTTATTCATTTTCACTTTTGAAAACGTTTAATTACAAAGTCACTGAGCATGTTTTTTTTTTTTTCATTTTCAGCAGCTTGTTGTAACAAATAAAGAGCGTATTTGTCTGTAGCCCTGCGATTCTGGTCTCTGGCTTTCCCCTTGAAATAGGCTCTGAAATTGGCTTATTGATAGTGTTACAGAGCCGCGGAGAGTGCGACATAAAGTCATTTTGTTGGACGTACAGCACTGCTGAGTTTACAAACAGCCAAATGGCATTAAATCACCTTGTAGTGCAGCCTTATCTAGAAAGTTGTTGAGGTTGAAGAGTGTGTTTCTGGAGGCAAGGTACTGCATCAATCTCTGACGGAAAAAAAAGAGAGAACAGAAGGGGTTAGTGTCTTATCTGCTACTTCTCCCCGACAATATCAAGTCATGTCCATGCTGACACACTGGCAGTGTGTATGCCATGCCAAGTGAAGAGTTCATTTGAAGCTTTACAAGTCTTTCACAGAAGCTTGTTGACTGAAAGTAATGAAATGGACACTGGAAAACTGGGCTTGACGCCGATTGCATAAGCAGAGTTACAGCTAATCACATGCTTCACAACAACCAGACGTTTGCAGAAAATCAAATGCCCAATACTGATAATGGAGCATCTGAAGAATGGAAGTTCTGCTTGTACATTTTACAATAACAATCCTTCACTGAAACCATCCATCTTTGACCTGATCTGTCAGTGTTCATCTGCAACATTATTTTTGTTTGGTTTCCTAGTTGGAATATCAAGTGCTGACTTTCCAGGTGAGTTTTGGTTCATCCTGCCCCAGTATTAAAAAGAAATTCTAACCAGTAAAGTTACAATATGCCCCTCCTATCAAATTCTTTCTTTAATTGATATCCCATTCGCATAGAGCAATCAGTAATCCCATTCCAGTGTCCTGTTTTGTAAGGAAATACATCACATTAAGGACATAAAGTCATGGTCACGTCATGGTGCTTTAAACCATATATTTTTTCTGATCAGGTTGAAAATGCCAAAGCCAGTTTAGGCATCCCAGACAAATGTTCAAAACACCATGTCACAACTTGTGTCACTAAAAGCTTTGTTGCTTTTACACACTTTGAGTGGGTCGTCATGCCCGCTGTAATTGCCGCCACAGCCTCTCTTTCTAGTTTGAGACGCTCATCATTTAACATGTTTGATGTTTTTGGTTGTTGCTCTCGTGGTACGAGCAGTGGAGAGAGGCAATTTGCCACACTGGCCATTGAAATGTCAGCGGGGATACTTCATCAGTCCATGTTGGACACATGGAAGATACGGCTTCAAAGAAAACTCGCTGCAAGAGTTGGAGAGAAATTGCCGCAACCTGGTGAGCGAAATGTCAGTGTCTGGATAGATCGATGACCCGTGCGTCGGCGTCTCTCTCTCTCATGTTTGTGTGTGTGGAGACATAGTTGTGCAGAGCATTGAATTGTCCAGGAAATGTCTTTGTTTCATCCACTCATTGACCCCATTTTAAAGTGTTTTAATGGTAGTTTGTCATCTAGTGTAGGGATGCAGTAACAACAAGTAACAACAGCTAATTCATTATTGATCCATCCGCTTATCGTTTTCACCACAAATAGATAAATTGTTCATTTTATGAAATAATTAATGCATAATAAAATAAATAAAAGAATTCCCATCACAAGTTCGACCAAAGATATTCAATTTACAGTGATGTAAACAGAGAAGAAAGCAGCAAATCCTCAAATTGAGTAGTAAATAAAGTAAATGTTTGGCATTATTTTGTTGATAAATAACTTGATAAGATTTCTATCCAAACACCGATTGAATAGTTAACTGATAAACAGTCTAACACTGTTACCACTAACTAAACAAAGCTATCTAGGAACAGATCTTATACCTGTTCACCTTAAAACTTTAAATGTGAGGGGGAAGTACTTGTTGCCTAATAGTTGTGTATGACTATCCAAAAAAAAAATTGTTCTCTTTTTGTTTTGATCACAGTAAAACAAGCGTGCTATGTCCAAACGATAAACTATTTTCTCATGGAAATATCATTTGAAAAATTGCCGTTTTTGTCCTTTCTGGGCTTCCATACATCGGTGCGTTCAGCTCACCTCGTTGCCGTACATCATGAGGTGGTGTGTGGTGATGAGCGCTTTGAAAACCACTATCCAGCTGTTGCTGGCTGTGCGCTCCAGCAGTGTGTCTGCCAGGTGGGGGATGCTGACGTTCATCTCATTGGTGCAGTGGATCAGGTCTGGAGGATAGAAAAAAAAAACAGTATGAATGATCCTGAAAAAAAGAAGTAAATAAATAAATAAATGATTAGTAGAACAAGAATCATAGATAAAGGTGTTAGAGATCATTTGTTAAATTGCAGGTTTTACCACTGTGTCCACAAACTCCTGTTCACGTACATTAAGTCAGTGTGAATAAAAGCACCAGCCACGTGCCAAAACCATCATTTATAACCTTAGCGAGCTCATGAAGTCATATTGACTGGTGCATTATTTTTTGACTCACTCAATATCAGCACACAAATCAATGAACAAATGACAGATGAATTAGAACCAGGGCTACTATATCAAAAAATCCATTCACTGGCTGTAATCCAGCAGCTCTACCTACCTACTCCACCAAAATGTCAACAAAACATCCAATCAGAAGAAAGTTACATTACAAGGTCAATTCTAATCCAGCACAATCAGCACAGGAGATGCATCATTTTTAAAAGAAAGCATCAAATGAATAAACTGATTATGAATAATGAATCTGAATTTTCCTCCAGAGCATCTTTGTGAGCGGTGATGGACTAAATCTGACTTGACCCCAACATTTACCCTCTCAGACTCACACCCAGAGTGTAAATTGCCTGTTCAAAGCAAATGTGCAAATGTGAAACACATTTTAAAAGAGAATTAGCTCAGTGATCTGCTGTGTGTCGGATCCAGAGGTCTGACAAATGGCAGGTGGACTATGTGTTTTTAAAATTAAAAAACTAACATGCAAACAGGATAGTTTCTTTTAAAGGCAGAGAAATAAGTCTCCACTTTTATATTTACAACAATATCTCCCCAAAATAGTGAATTACAGATGACAGGTGATTCAGAATTCAGCAGTAAATGTACAACTGGGACATATTGTAGGAACAATGCCCTAAATTCCTTAAGGATTTTGGCTAAAGATCAAGATCAAAATGTAAAGTATGTTCAGCATCTGTTTAATCTCAAAGGTTTACTGACTCCTAGTAAAAGAACCAAGCTTTAAATAGCACAAATAGGCTCCTTCTTATGTGCCCTGTTGCTATATATTGTATACTGCATATTCTGCAAATCAATAAATGAGAAATTATTCCGCTTGTGATTCAAGAAGTGAAGTTACAGAAAGTTATTTCCCTGGATAAACCAATTACAGTTATCTCAATATTTTTGCTCAGTAGTATTGGCAAGACTGAGATAGGAATAGGATTACAGGTAATATTGGTGCAAACCACATGTCATTTAGTGAAGGAACATTAAAATAGAAAATAGAAATAAGAAAATAATAAATGTCAAAGTTGATAAAGTCAGATGAAAAAAAAATCAAGATGGGGGGAAATTTTAGTTGAATTTGACAACAGATGGTCAAGAAAAGCACACCACCAACAAAGGCAATATACAATGCAATACTATAATGATACAAGTAAAGGAACTAAAATAAAAAAGCAGTGATGCAGCCAGTGAAACCTCGGGGGAGTGAGTGGAAGTGAACTTGCATTCAAAGACAGACAGAGAAAGAAGCTGTGGGCAGAGTTACTGAGAGAAAACTTCTTTCTGAGGCAAATCCTCAGTCTGTTTCTTTCACGGGATCAGAGGTTATCAGGGTTTATTTGAAAGCTGTGTGATGTTTTCTGCGCCCATTGAAACGCTGGATACCACAGAGTCCCGGCTGATACCACAGTTACATGCTTAATGAATGTCAAAGGCACCCAAAGCACCAGCAATTCACTGCAGCTAATGTTTCAATCCTGCTCATCTTTTCTCCGTGTTATTTTTGAGCATGAAAGCGACACGGCCGGTAATAACTGCAACAATATTGATTATACTCTTTATCGACTCGCGCAGCTTTGAATGCCATGAATTATCACTGCAGTCAGACTGTCAGAGTCTCCCTCTACAGCATTAATGTCATGACATTTGGTCCCTTGATTTAAGGCCAAATATTAGTCAAGGGTCTGAGTACATCCAATATCTGAAAGTGGAAACGTGTAGAAAACAATGAACAAAATGATTCCTAAACACATTTTGAAAAAATATCCATGTAGAGCAACACTAACATCAAAATTGATATTTACATCACTATAAAGCATATTTACACCTGACTGTACATATAAGTCGCCACAAACCCAGAATCACCACTTTATATATTTCGATTTTTATTCTGAATTTGTGTTTTTCAAAGTCCCGTCTCATAATTAAATCTCCGGGCATGAATATAGCAATCACGTGTTGTAATGGTGGCGGTCAGTCATGCTTTCACATCGTTAATGGTTTGTTTGTGTGTTTGTTTCCTTCAGGCTCAATAATTAATGGTACCACATTGATTCAAACTAATTAATGCTTCTTGTCAAAAGTGAACACACATAAATGCACTCGTAAAGTGGACATGCCACACACTTTTTCACCATGCTAGCAACATGGCGCTGCAGATAACAGTGCTGGTCCGTGGCTTTGGGCTAGACTGAAATATCTCATAAACTACTGGCTGGATTGCCGTGAAATTAAGACAGACATTCATTGTCTCCAGAGGATGAATCCTAAAGACTTTGGTGATCCTTAAACTGTTGCCCTGGTGGCACCAGAGGTTAAAATTTATGTGGTTGTGGTTGCTTTTACAGAGAACCGTGGAATGTTTCAGTGAAGTTAATTGAGAGCTAACTTGCTGGGTAAATTGGCTAGTCTCACGTCAGCTGCAATATTTTATTTATTGTCTCTTAAAATGCTCACCAACAGGAAATACTGTTTATCTTGGTGGAGATACTGATACTGATACTGATATGACCACTATAAAAGTACTAAAGGACGATGACAAAAGGGAATGCTAGCATGCTGACATTAGCATTTAGTACCACTTTGTGTAATGCTCACGGGGCCGTTAGCGTAGCTTGTTTAAAGCGGCTATTATCAACATTTTTATAATAAGAATGTATCAAATGACAGTGTTACAATGTGAAAAGGGGGTCGATCAAAGCTGCCATAAACCTACTGAGATTTACAACCTAAATCTGCAGCTCTCAGCTTTACTGAACTATGTAGCAAGTTCCAGCTCTTTTCAGTTTTAGTTTTCCTCTTTGGTTCACTCTCACGACTCTCGCAGCGACTCTTTCGATATCAGCATGCAGCTCTTTTCATCAGAAAAAGCTCCTAAAACCCACTGTACGTACTCACTGTATGTAACCTGCCTAGCACCACACAGCAGACAGACAGAGTTAGCAACTAGCTGGTGAACATATTGGAACTTTTAGCTGCTAAAGATCCAGATATTTCCCTCAGGAGTTGGTTGAGACCAAAAACAGAGCTAAAAGAGAGTGTAAATTGAACTTATATTCATCAGGTGGCCAGAAACATGACTCCAAATGAATGATAATGTTGCTGTGTTACTGCTGGATGTTTAATTAAGATGCTATTTGATATGTCAGTGTTGGCAAAAAAACATCAGTTATTGCAGGTTTAAATGTATTGTTTACTTTTAGCTGAATAATTGCAAAGCACATATGCTTCTACTTGAATACAATTGCACCTAAATAATAGAGCCCACCTCTATATATTCCTCTGTGTGATAATACATCATCCAGAATGTATTCTTTGACATGTGATGGTGTAGATAGCTAGAGGGATGTAATGAAGTATTGACTGTATGATTGCCAACTGGGATTATTGATAAACTGCAGTCCAACATCAATAACACAATTACAACTAAGCTTTAGGATATGAGTTTGAAAACATTTATACAAAGGATAATATGACAACATGGTGTCATCAAATTAAATTCAAGACATTTGTAATGCTAGTTAGGATAAAAAATACAAGATGAGTGTTTTAAAGTATGTGTGTCTGGAGGGAGTTCTCCTCATAAAGAGACTAACTGTAAAATGTAACACATTTTTTGTTCAAGACCTTGGCTTTATGCAAAGTGAGTCATTTTCAGGACCTGAAACAGAACTGCAAGACTACGCGATTATACTGACACATACAGTAGATGTGGGAGTAAATGTGTAGGGGTTTTCATTCATTCTCATTCATTTTGTGTTTTTCTGTCACGTCAGACCAAATGTGAATCATTTCAACTTCTTTTCAATGTCGTCTTTTACTTTATGTGAAAGTATGTGAAATGTGTGTGTGTGAAAGGACATAAATGTGGCTTCTTAGGAGCAAAAAGCTTGTGATTACCGTCAACACATTTTGTTGTTGCTTTTGCATACATTTATGGTACAACGCAATTATAGCCGTGACACGCAACCAAAATAATCATGTGCTGAATAACACAACAGACTGTGCTTTCAGGGCAGAAGGTCATTTTTAGGCATGATTACTATTCTATATCTGATAAATTTCTATTGCCACTCTCTACTATCTCAGCCATGCAGAATATTGCCTAGTGAAAGTGAAATCCCATTACTCTGTGTGTCATGCTCGTCATTCGCTATAGGTAGTAAATAATCAACATTGGCCGTTTATGTCACCAACCGGTCTGTCAAGGTCATGACACTATAGGGGGGAAAAAAAGAGACCTGGGTTTGCTCACTCTGAATAGCTTCAATGACTAGCATTGCATTTGATTTATCATGTGTTGTATTTGGACAAATGGCACAGCTATTCATCTTTTCTTTCCACTGTGCCTCGCAAGGATGGATCAATAACAAGCTGAGTGTATTTTAAAGGTACTTGAAATGTTGTCTGTATTTATCAGAGCTCTCAGATTAAGTAAACCAATCTAGAATCACTGCCCAGGTGTATTTTGGCGTCCTTTCTTTCTTTCTGATCTGAACAGAAAACTTGGATTAGTTCTGAGGGATGTGATTTTAAATCCCACTGATGGGCAACTTTGCCAGTAACCTCTGTTTCTTTATCTTTGTTTGTTTAATCCTATAGAGCCGGTGTGAAACCAGAATCTGTTACAGCAGTAAGAAAATCTCATTCAAAACCATCTGGACATTTGACAGTTAACTAACAATCCAGCGCTGGAACAAAGGCTTTTCACAACAGTATGTGATGTGGCTCGCTTTAATCTAATATAACTGATCATTTAACATTTCTATCAGAAATATTACAGCTAAAATTTTTGAAAACTGACTTAATACTGTAAGTGGTAGTAAATCTTCATGGGAGTTGTAGTTTTTTCTGACTTACGATGCCGTGATGTCACGTTCAGTGTAGCCTCTGATCCAATCGCTTCTGTACCTCAATGAAATCGCTCATTCAGCATTTCATTGATATAGTCTTTCTGAAAAAATGAAGTATGTTCCTGGGGTTTATTTTCCATATTCTAAGACAAATCAGCATCTATTACAGCAGTTTCTATCAGACATTGAAACCATTGTGAACAAAAACAGAAAAAACTATAGCTCCCATGAAAATTTACAACAGCATGCAATTTTTTTTTATCTGTATTAATTAAGCATCTAATCTCTGCTTTCTAAAAAACCTCCACACCGCTTGCTCTTCTGTCCTCCTATGTCTGAGCTAACCGCGACCCCCTTGACTCACTAATGGACTCGTTTCTTCTGTCAAGCCTGGGCCTTATGGGTGATACTGTTCATTAAATGTTGCTCAAACCAGACAGATGAAATAAACAACGATAGTAGATCATTTTTTTTAGGAAATGGCCATCTTTATCTAAACATATGAAGTGAGCCACACCACACTTGTGGGTTTTTGAATAAGGTCTTCTTGCTTCTGTAACAGAACCTAGAAGTTCTGGTTTCACTTTATTCTGCCACTGATTTTGTTCCACTTACTGGCACAGTAGTTCCTGCTGAGGGTTTTTACGCACTCTTCATTCCCTCAGAATACAGTGTTTGTCACTTTTTATGACCCTATTTTATGACCGTATTTAAAGCTGAACAAGAAAAGACCCAAAATTTGATGGTGGGTGCGCTGCACAAAGAGAGCGTGGTTCACACATATCTGAACTCTCAGACTTGACACTGACCCACAGTCTTGTACAGCTGAATCATCTGGAGCTCCTGAGAGCTGTAGACATCATTTGCTTTTTCTTTGCATTCTTGCATTCTTTATTCCCTTCCCCACCAAGGTCCTCCCAGACAGTTGTGGGATTAGTGCCACTGTCCTCCTGATTACAAACAAACTTCCTTCCTGCGCCCTTCCCCAACCTTAAGTGCAGCCTCTACTCTCAATTAAATGCCAGGGAGAGAACTGGATGTTATATCATGTCCTGGGTAGAGAGGAGAGGCCCTCTTAACAGGAAATAGAAAGTGTGTTATTGTGGAAGCTAGCTGTGTCTGTTAGAACAGCTGCATCTGAATGGCTCAAGTACAAAACACTCATTCAACTAAAAAAATCAATTCAAGCTTCCAGGGGGGTGAATTGAGCCAAGCCTACAGTTTCTGCTCTGGCATGGAGCTTTTTTATTCCACAAATCACCAGAATAAGAGTCGGATCAGAACAAAAAAAATGCCTCATGTAACCACTTCGACCAGAATAAATGGACACATTCTGAGAGAGATGTCATTGTCCTTGAGAGCGGAGGTATAAAATGTTTTACAGATTACATTTTATCATGTAAATGCTCAGAATTTCTGCTCTCATCCTTGAGTTGAGTGACATTCGCTAGTTTCTGAGAGGCTCTGACTCACGACAGGTGAGAGAGGTGGACGACCTTCTACCATTTAATAACTGCAGTAATATGTTCTTATAAAACTGCGGCTTCGGTAGTAAGCACAGGAATAAACCAATATCTTGATGCACTTTATCTGCCTTTAGCTTTACTTTAGTTGAAATCATCAATTGGCTTGGTTTTCTTCAGAGATTAAGTCAATAGTCATACTTCCACCTGTACCAGGGGTTTCCAGACTGCCCCTCTTGAGGATGGATCAACAACCAAAATGTAAAACATGAGCCTCACAAATGGCCACAGCAGTAACATCACTGAAATCCTGAATAATTAGCCTTTGGTGGTGGTCACCATCAAGATAAGGAGATTTGTGTGAAATCAAAGCAGCAGTAATTACCCAGTGTTGCAATTCAAGAGTCATTAAATGCCCCCCCCCCCTTTGTAAATGCACATATGAACTTGCTTCTGGACCTTTTAAACACCCCCCACTGGGTGTTTTCTGCTTTAGTGGCCCTTTTTTTTGTTGTTGTTGTTTCAGTCAAGGAAAGTGATACAGGCCTGATTTAGATGTATTGTGTTGAAGCGCCCAGTGGCACATCTTGTGAGGGAGCCCAGAATTCCCAGTGTCACCTCTGCCGTGGACATAACTGACTAATCCACTGCCAAACTTGCGGGCTGACTGGCTGGGTGTGTAGCTGGATGACTGACTCTCAGGCTGTTTGGCGACCTGCCTCGTTGTTCCTCTCTCTCTCTCTCTCTCTCTCTCTCTCTCTCTCACTGATTTATCCACGTTTCCTCTTGATTAGCCATCTTGCTATGTGCCCGTCTGTCTGTGTGTCTGTCTGTCTGGACTGACTGCCTGCTAGTCTGACTGGCAGCACCATTGATTACCCGTGCTCTCTATTGATCATGTCAAGTAATTATAGTGAGCCAGAAAAGCCACCTAACCTAATAATCACTGGCAAAAATCTGCATGTGAGGAATCTTCTTATGTTCATAATTGCTTCAGGTAATTAGCAGAATGTGGAGATAAAGAATCTGTACTGACACCAAAAAAAACAAAAAAACAAAAAAACAGCCTCATTGTAACACCCACCAGCAGAGCTACAGTACACACAGTATACTGTGTGACTCCCTGCCTTCAGCACCTCAGGACTGACAGCACTAACACATTCATTAATGATAATATTGCAGCAGAGGACATGACAGTGAACTTGAACGTGAGATTCTGCAAATGAAGAAAAAATGTTAGTGATGCTGCAGGAATAACGCATATTCATTTGGCTATGAAGTGTCTCCAGAGGATAATAGTGCTGCTGCTGATAGTGGCGTTAATAATGAATAGGCCTGTACACTGTAAAGCGGATGGTTGCAATATGATTAGCCTATACCAGAGTGGCCTATTTCCCCTGAATGACATGCACAGATAGTGCCTGGCTGTTTGCCCCTCGCCTTATATTAAAATTTACTGCTCGCTTTAATGGCCAGATACATTGTAGTGTATGCTTTGCGGCGTAAATCAAATTTTAGTCCAAGGGAATGTAATGGTGCCTAATTAAAGAGGATGCAAACCGGATGAGAGAGAGAGAGAGAGGGGGGAGCATAATAGATGCTGTTTATAAAAGCTATCCTTTGTGAGGAAAGATGCTGGTAGCTTGATGCATGCATGCAGGCTATCTATACCGTATGCAGTGATGGTATGCTTAACCTACAGTCAAGGTGTTTCTTCTTGGGTCCGCTGACTTCATGCGTCGTGGCCTTGCAGACGGCTTTGCTGATGGCAGACCCGGTCATGCTGTGCTGCGCGGCGGCGATCCGGTCCGTCAAAGACTGTCCCGACATGTTACGGAGGAGGAGGTGGTGGTGGTGGTAGTGGCGGAGGTGGCGGATGAGGAGGCAGGCGGAGTGATGGTCGAGTCCGGGTGGGGGGAAACGGGGAGGACGATCAAAATGTCTTTAGCGGCAGGGAGGAGGGTAGTGCCCTCTGCGAGAATTGGCCGTCTGAGGAGGAGGAGGAGGAGGACGAGGAGGAGGACAGCAGCGTACACCGACGAGGATCCGGTGGGAGAATTCATGCGGCGGCCAAATAAAACATAAGACGGTCACATCCAGGGAACCATTTAATATTCAGTCGAAGGCATCAGGATGGTCCAGCTGCAGAAATGATTTATCAACCTCTATATTTATATATATATATATATATATAGGCTATATATATATATAAAAAAGCTGGGAAAAAAATCAATGTATAATTAGCGCGGCCTGCATCAAAAAGCAGCACAGTAAAATAATATAAGACAATGTACAGTGAGCTGCAATGTATCCCTGAAATAGCCGCTGACAACGCTGAGATGCCGGCGGGATGCGCCTTTACGAGAGCTGAATCCGAAATAATCGAAAGACTACCGGTGATTAGTATCAAATCTATGCGGCATCCCCTATAACCGAAGACTCATTTTTCAAAGACGATATAAAACAGCATTGTCCTTTCCCCCTTTTTTTTTCTCCTCTTCTTCACCCGGTTTCTCCTCTGAATCTATGCAGAGCTCCGACCGCAAACACCTCTTTTGATCCACACAGCACCCCGCGCTGGTTGCATCTAACCTCAGCCGCTTTTATTTTATATCGCCTGTCTTTTTTAATCTTCTCACAAAAGGGTGTATTTCTGTGTTCAGGTTGCCGATAGGCCAATTCCGATTTTTTTCCCCCCTGTCAGTCAAACTTGTGTGTAAAATGGCAGTACATGAATCAGGTGACTGAGAAAGGAGGGCGATTGGGCCACTTCTCGGGTCCGGGGAGGGCATCTTAAAGCAGAAGGCTGCCCCGGGTTTGCAAGGCATCAGCTGGTTCATCACCTCGGTGCATGTGTGTGTAAGGCTCCGGAGTGTGATGTGCAAACTCTCCCTGATTACCTGCTGTCCAATGAAATGTAGACACATAGGGAGGAAAATCCATGATGTTATCAACACAACATGTTTGTGTGATGCTTGTTTCAACAGGATTCCTACTGTCTATCTATAATGACAGAAAATATCCCTGTTGTGGTCTATTTTATGGTTATCTTTATGATTTTACAGTAGTAATATTATGTTTTTCTTAATTACATCACAACATTCCTACGTCAATGTGACTGTAACCCCCCCCCCAACAAGCCTTTATCATTCCTGTGATGGTCACAGTTTGTTGACATTTCTTATAACCTCAATAATTTCCCAGGAATGTTCCAGTTTGATTAATTTAGTTCCACCAACTTTCCCAGTATAAGTCTAAATGTTCTCCCTAAACACACAAAAATACTCACATAACTAAAGCTAGTCCCTGCAGGGACTTTGGCTACAGCTCTGTTACTCAGTAGTGTATTAATATTGATTTCACTGCTCTTTATTTGGCATATTTTTGGGACATATGTCCAATATCCCTCAGAGGTAAGTTGCTTTTTTAAGTATATGTAACAGCAGGAGATATTGCTGTCAAGGACCGATTATTTTATAGTATTGATGATCGATCTGCTGATTATTTTTTCTATTACTTGTTTGGTCAGTTAAAAAAAACAAAAAAACACTGAAAAATGTCTATCACCATTTCCTAAAGCCCAGGGTGACATTTCCAGAAGTTTTATTTTGTCAGAGCAAGGGAGGATTATAAAAATGAGCGCAGATCGATTGATGAATTGTCTCAGCCCTCTTGCTCGCCTTGTGAATCACATGATTTCAGTATTTTTTCGGGTGACACGTGTTGATTTGAGCTGAGTGGATGTGACATGTCTTTTGATCCATGCAGAGAAGCTGAGTGGAAGCTGCTGAAGATATATGGTGCAGTGTACATGGCATCACAGATTATTTTTTTTATTTATTTTTTTATTGCATGTAGTCTGGTCCACAGAGAACGCAGTTACAAATGTGTTGCATTACAAGGCCAGGCTATTACACATCAAAGGCAGTGTAGTAAAATATAAAGCAGATGCCTAATTTGAAAACATGGAATATCAAACAACACTCGAGGCAGACTCAACAAAGGCTGTTCTGTCCTTGCTGTGCAGAAAAGAGTAGCGTATATCATGTTTTTGACTGGAAAGACATTGATTTTAGGGTTTTTAGAACATCTCGTACCAACAATAGAGCCAACAGTTTGACAGCGAGTCAAGTTATTCATATCTAGAGTAAAATATTCACCTTTTCAGGATGTTTATGTTAATTTTGGAATAAAAATGGGCATCACGGAGAGAAACCATACATACATGCATAATGCTACATCGTGGAAAAAGACAGAGTAGTGCTAGAAGAACCACAGACTTCATAAAGCGGTTTACACTTCACCACTGCTATTCCTAATTAAAGAAATTTTCAATTCACTTATAGCCTTTAGGTTTTATCAACTAATTAAACAGTCCATTTAATGGACATATCTGCTAAATTGCCTCCCCTCCATTATCTCTAAAACATTTATGTTTATTTCTGCCCTCAGAGGATTCTTGTGTGTTTTTCTCTGTAGCATGCAAGAACAGATTTTCCAGTCCGTCAGTTGTTGATCCAGTGTGAAAGAAAATGTCTTTATATATGAAAAGTCCAGTTATCAATACATAGAATGCATCCTTCAGATGCTGAGCATTAATGTTACACAAAAGGATTCCTCTTACATCACATTTGCAATGAAGTAAGGCTGTACTGTTCAGCAGATGGATAGTAGGCTATGACCTCTGTAATGACAGATAGGAGACTAGTAAACTGTCGGACACAAGTCAACACAAACTCAACAAGTCACTAGACAACATACATTTGTTCATTTCATGCCCAGCTTAGACTAAGTAGAACCAGTTAAACCTTGTCTCCCAGAAGAGCAAAAAAACCACGCGATATTAATCACAATTTGACAAACTCACCATGACGACTGTCTCTGAAGATTGAGGGGAGACAATCTGCAGACTGGGACAAAGACTCAGAGAAGGGGGGCACATTTGTAAAATTAGTAAAAATGTGCCAAGACTCATATTTCAAGCCTTGATTCTTTTGTCTCTTTGGGGACATTTTGTCTCTTTGTAGTCATTTTGTGTGTCTTTGCAGTTGTTTTGCGTCTCTTCATGGTGGTTTTATGTCTCTTAGTTGTCATTTGTTAACATTTCTTCTTGGAAAGTCTATCAGTCACTTTATAAAAGCATGTTTTCACTTTGGTTAGTGTTACTGAGTGTAGATTTTATTTTTTTTAAATCAATTTTATCCATTTTAAATTAATTCCATAACATAATACACTGTGCTACAAGTGAAGGTGTCTAAATCATTTCTGAAGCCTCTGTTTGTCAAAGAAAAGGATCCTGTGGTCCACTTTCCAGCTTTTTTTTCCTGAGATTTCAGCTGCATATTGTGGTCTTCTCACCAGGTGGTTTGCTCAGTAGTTTTCATGTGACCATGATAACCAATTGTTATGCTGTATATCTGTGTACTTTTTTTTGTCAAACTGTTTCAAAGGTCAAGAATGAGCAGACAAATCTGGTCAAATTGCAATGTAATCCTTCATTTTGAACCGGTAAACTGATTCTGCAGAGGTAATTTGTGAAATCTGTGACAGGTCACACTCAAATGTGGGGACTGTGTGGACAGAGACACTGTTTCAGTTTTGATGAAACTAATAGAAAATGGCTCTCAGGCCTTTGACAGCTTGTGGTACAGTCAGTTCCCTCACACTCAGCTAAACTCAAATGCAATTGAAGATGTTTTTAATGTAGGCGCACTTACATTAGCTCCACAATATGCAGATTCAAGAGACATCTTCAGAACTGCAGTTTCATCTGCGTTCAGATTTTTTAAAGATTTCATTTCTCTCCCTCACATCCTTTGACTTAATAGAGATGGCATGAAAGTGGGCTGAAGAAAAGTGCAAAGAATGTGAGAAGGCTTAATGTTTTTTATGTCTGTGTCCACACTGCAGAGAAAAATGCCAAAATTTGGATTTTTTCCACGTTATGTAAGAGTGAGAAAACCCATACCACTGGGAGCTGGTAGTTCAGCCAAATGTCAAGGTCACAGTGTCAGATATGTTCAAAGCAAGCAAAGAGAATCATGCAGAAACTGTACATATTAAATACTGTGAGTACCATTTTTTCTTGTGCAATTGTAACAACAAGATATTTTTAATACTTTTTCCAGAAAAAATAAGTCTGTACAAAGTCCATGGCAGAAAAGAAACAACGACTGAACCTGTGTTATTAGTTTTTATCTACAACTATAAAACTAAGAAGTTGCCACACATCTGACACATATCACATTTAATGCATATCTTCCAAGAATTTAAGGAATTTCAGACTTTTCTTTTACCATAAATTACAAACAAAACATACAAATTTTTAAGAATCTGCAAGAATCATGTCTGAAACGTCATTAAAACTCTATTTTGTGTGCCAGGTATCATATTGGCCTGCAGTGTGAACACAGCACATGCGCACCTTCTTTTTAACAATCAGTCCCTGAGCCAAACTTATCTCTGTGGCCGAGGCCTCACAGGTGTTAACTCCTTGGTTGTCTGCGACTGGTCTGTAAAGAGTCACCATTTCACACATGACGAGCAGTTGAGATGATCCTTTGCGGTGTTAGAGTATCCAGACAGGACGAGGGAGCCGGGGTCTCGTTCTACCACCGGGCTCTCCTCATTGTTCAGGATGTGCTCTACCAAGCAGCGTGCTGCCTCCTCGATGTTTGTGTTCTCCTGTGAGGGGGAAAAAAAACCACACACTCGTAAAGAGATCACACACTTTTTAGCCGCACTAATGGCACTGCTCTGAGAAAGGCGATGTTGGTCGGTCCGTCCACCACTGTGGTCCAGACTGGAGTCTATTAACAGCCATTGAATGCTTTGCCACATTCACATCGCTCAGAGGTCGAATCCTATTGACTTTGGTGAGCCCCTGACTTTTCATGTAGCGCCACCATGAGGTTGACAGAGTGAAATATCTTGACATCTATTAGTTGGGTTGCCGTGAAAGTAGGGATTTTCTTCAAATTTGGCACAAACATTCACTAGGACAAGGATGAGACTGATTAGACTTTGGTGGTCAAAGGTCAAAGGTCAAGGTCACTGTAACCTCACAAAACACGTTTTTCGCCACACCTCACAAATTAATTGGCTAATTATGAAACAATTTAACACAAATGTCAAAGAGGATGAAATGATGAGGGTCAAAGGTCAACTTCACAGTGACACCATGATGTTCTGCAAAAACACAGCAGTAATTCTAGTTTTACTTTTGTAATAAAACCATTAAAATGGCTGAGAGATAAAAATAAATACCGTTATTTATCTATCCTGTTAAAACACTGTAACAGCAGCACAACAGTCAGGCTGTTAGACCAAATGTCTGAGTTTCAGCAGTGTGATTTATTGCTTAAGAATTCTACTTTTCTTTAATAAGAGGTGCTGTGTGTTATTTGCTCTTTCAAAGGTCTCCCTTTAATACCATGACAGCAGCGAGCGAATGCTCTATGCTTGTATCTTCCCTCTCTTAACCTTTCGCTTTGCTTTGATGATGCTATGACAGCCAGGTAGACAGGAATGTGCTGTTTGCTGTGTCCTAATGTCAGTTTTCTCCCTCAGAAGCTACAAATGTTCACAGAGTGTCTCCTGTCTGTCATAATCACCGTCAGAATGGAAAATATAGAGTATGAAAAACACTTCTTTGTCTTTTCATTCTGGCTTTACACACCGAACTAAGGAGAAGCCTCGATGTCACACACTGTTTTAAACTCTCTGTAATTCTTTGTGTGCTGAGCTGTGTGACCTGTCTGCTGAGCTTCTGCATTCACCAGCTACACTACCATCTCCGACTTGCACTCTGGTGTGTAACTCATTAGACAGGCTCTGAATGAGAGGAAAAAGCAGAGGGCTAATTCACACTAGGCTGCAGACATTCCCCTGTTTGTTTCATTAAATAATGCTCTCTAACTTTAAGTATCTGCACTACAGAGTGGGCTTCTGCTCTAATAGCTTTGCTATTGTTTTAGAGTAGCAAATATGTAGTTCATCTGAATGTGTAAATTGTGTACAGGACAGATGACCAAGAACTATTTAATTTAGCTCTAAATTAATCTTTAGTCTTTTAGTCTTTAGTCTTTTGGTAAATCAACCAAGGCCTACAACCTTTTATCACTGGCCTACATTTGCATAGAAATCTCTTGTATATCAACTGATCAGTGGAAAATATATCTATGGCATCGATCTAACTCTGCAGCAGTAATTAAAAATAAAGTCACACATCCTGCGTCTCCCCTCCCGTACCTTTGCAGAGGTCTCGAACCAGCCAACAAAGCCGTTCTCCCTGCAGAAGGAGTCGAGTTTTGGCTGCTGAGAACCCAGCTGGTCTGACTTGTTGGCCAAGAGTACAGCTGGAACTGGCCTGCCATGGTTCAGAGTCACCTTTGGAAAGAAGAAAAACAGATTACATGACGGTTGTACAAACGGTACCATCATATAGCTTACTATATAACATTTTGATGTAAAATATACCCTTATTTACCATCTTATCTATCTCTAAGTAAAGTATGTATTCAATAGTCCTCTAACATAAACATGTCAGTTTGCTCAAAAAGAACTAGTGTGCTCATGTGACATTCAGAAGGTGTTATGAAAAACCATCATGACAGTTTGATTCATGGACTCGGATGTGCACATAAAAAGTGACTGAACTAAGTGTGTCGAATCCTCAGTCTCAGAGAGTTAAACCTTCAATAACTTGGAGCCGGCAGAACACAACATAGACATAACATTTGCTTTAGCTGCAGCAAACAACAACATTATGAGAGCGGAGAGAACAAAACAAAACAGTAAAGTTACAGAGAGCTAAACAGTGAGCTGAAACTTCATCACTATGAATGACAACTTTCGCATAGTCACTTTTTTGTTCATATGTTTGTTTGTTTATTACATTTGATACATTGTTATAAAAATATCAAGCCACTTTATGCTGTCAGTTTATATGTGGATGGTTGAATAGTGTCTGAGCCGAACTGACAGTTTTTTCTTTGTAAGTTTTCAAAACCTTTAATCCGACCATCATGCTCTTTTCACGCAGCAGCCGGTCAGGTGTGCTGAGCTGAGAAGGTATTTGAACGATTATCATTTCTCATCTCTCTTTACACCTTTACAGAAATTCCCCCTCAAGTCCAGTGTCAAAAAGGTGTGAGGGGAGGCAATGTGATTAAAGCACACTGACATCTAGAGCACTTCTGATACCTCTTATACCCTTTTAGTAGCATGGCAGATTTAATTAAGACCTGTACTTTTATAGGGTCCTGGCCTTTGGAGCTGTCACACAATTGTGCCTCTAAGAACTGTTCTGAGCATGTTCTCATTTTTAATATGTCCCCACAGTTTCACAAATAATGTACTCTGAATATTTGCCTGACATTTTACAAATAAAGCTTGTGAAACTCAGGAGCTGGTTTCTCTTTCCAGAAACAGTGCCATTGTTACTCTTGACAATCAAACCACCTCAGCAATGACCAACCCCCCCAAACTCCCCAGCTCCCCCTCCTTACAAATCCCATGTAACCCCTCGTTATTCTTATTAAATATTTACACCCACTAACTGCAGGTGCAACTGTTAATATAGCTAATCTGAACCAATTGACAAAGCTAACGTTAGCTTGCTAATATCTGCACTGTTCAGGGTGAAGGGTAAAGGAGGTAATAGAGAGCACGGTCGACATATCTGACATAAAACTTGATCAATTCTGTTTAATAATGACGTCAACAACATAACTCAAATACAAAACATTATGCCGACCACATTTAACAAAATGAGTAAATTAAACCGTTGGCCCATGTGCAGGTATAATATGATTTTTAGACGATTACAAAAAGGGCCAGAAAGACAGGAGAGAGAGAGAGAAAGCCTCAGTTTAAGCATCTCTATCAGTTGTAGACCACAGGTGGGTCGACTTTGTGGAGCTCACGGAGCCGTCGTCTGACCTTGGAGTCCAGGTCATCCTTCCACTTCAGCACGGCATCGAACGTGGAGGCCCTTGTTACATCAAACACCACCAGTGCTCCCACCGCCTCCCGGTAATAGACACGAGTCATGTTCCCATACCGCTCCTGTCCTGAGACGGATGGACAACCATCAGACACACACATATTCATGTAAAGACAACTTTCAAGTCCATATAATTAAATTAACTCACGGCATGGTTTATCAGTGGCAGATATACTGTAGGAGTGTGAGTTTGTGTGTTCGTGTGTGTTTATTCTACAGAAGCCGCCATCATGTGACTGATATTATGAGCATGGGATCACTTGAGTCACAGCCAGGCACAAGATCTACATTCCTCAACCAGGCATCAAATGACAGGGAGGGACCCAGGCATCCAGTGGACAGACACACACCAAGTTCACATCACTCACTCAAAAAATCCCCATCTTACCAAGTTAAGTTTATGTTTGTAAGTCCTAAAAGTAAAAGAGTCATTTTATCCTGTCTTATTTCAACATACTGACCCTCTTAATGGAGTTAACTGTACTGGAAACCAGTTAATATTATCTTCCTGTACTGGTTTATCACATACACACTTCCTTTCCTAAAAATGCTCTTAAACTCCTTTATGAAGCTTATTTCCAGAGGTAGCTCAACTAACAGGTTTTCACAACTGCTGGAAGTGAAACAAAAGGTTTTTGTTTCCAGAGATCCAAGAAAACACACACACACACACACACACACACACACAGAAACAACACACACACCACACACAACACACACACACACACCACAACCCACACATCCCCACCACACACACACACAAACACATTTGTAACTAGGATAAACCTGTAAAGTTCTGAGCACCTGCTATGTGTCCCACGCGTCAGCCGGATGCTCCTTTATGGCTAGATACATGT